TGATTGAATCTAAAGTTTTATTCAATCTTTTCTTAAAGTGCCCAGAATTAGGGCCTTAACCACTTGTTGAAAAAACTTGCTACTTTATGTGCCAGAGGCGTTTCCTATTTTCAGTCCTAAATGAATCACCTTTTAGTTTAAGTGACCCTTTGTTCTTGATTTACTACCAAGTGCAAAACAGTTTCCTGGGTTGAGGCTCTACCCCTTAAGAGTTTTATTAACTTGTATCAAGCCTCCTTTTAATCTTCATTGTTTTACATTACAGATATTTATCTCCTTCATTTATACAACAATCCCATGAGATCAGTAATCCCTCTGATTGCTTTTGGAACACTTCTGAAGTCATAGAGTTCTTGTGATATGGTGACTGACACTGAACACAATAGTTTTAATGAGATCTCATTGGCGTATTATAAAGCTTGAGCCGAACACCCCCTGATTTATATTCTATACTTTTTGCTCTGTACACAAGCATTCTGTTCCAGATCCTGTTCACATGCATTTTCAGGCACAGTAAAAGCATAGGGAAAAGTATAATGTTCCTACTTCCTACTCTATTTACTTTCACTTTCAATCTTCCCAAGTATCTCCCCAATCCAAGATTATGTGTCTGTTTATAATTCCCTTGTCAATATTTCTCTCTTCCTGTTACCCTCTTGTATCACCTGCAAAGTTTGCTAAATATATCAATCTAATTCGTTGATATACTGTGGATCAGAAGGATCTTTAACTGTTCATTTACTGACATTGTACTAAAGAACTCTTTGCACTTCCAATATCTTTTCAGTGTATTGCTTTTACATTTCTGAATTTCAGGCCTATTTATGCAGTCTATGAAATACTATTCCATCGTATTTTTTTCTTTATTTTTGTGAATCAAATTATTCTTTATTTCATGGACAGAACAATTTTTAAGCATCGCCCCATGGTCATCAGTAGTCTTCCACACCAAATGACCTAACAATGGAGCCCTAACATAACTATTTTTGTTAATTATATTATGTGTAATGAGGATTAGACCAGGTCAGCAGCAGCACCCTCTACCTGTCCCACCTCTGTACTAACCCTATCAAGACGGCTCAAGACCAGCAAAGTCAGAGGTCACACCAGCACATCATATCAGTTTCTGTTGCTACACAAGGCTCAGTCTGGAGCCCTAATTTAACAAGAGCACCAGACAAGACCAAGGAACACCCTTGTGTAGAACAGTGGACAATGAGAAAATGAGAAATGAGAAAATGTTCCAAAACTTAACCACTCCTGGACACAGCCATGTTTAAAACATGCTTATAGTATACTACAGAGTGCACACAGGAGGTAAACATCATGCCACAGCACCTAAAGGAGTCTTTGTGAAGAAAGTTTTAGTTTTACTTCACCCCTCAGGGGACATATAGGCTTAAATTTCAAAATGAAAGGAATTTTGTATTGAGATTGCAAATCCTGCTATAAGCAAAGGATTTAAAATACATTTCCACTGGAAAGTGAATCCCTTTATCATTCCAAAATGAGACAGAGAAAGAGGAATTACCTGCAAAGAGTTGATGATGATGGAAAACAGGAGAGGGCAAATGGTATGCTTTCTTACAATTCATGAATCTTTCACTAAAAGCCCAAGTTTAACTACAGTATGTAATTATTGGTCCAAAATGGAATCTACAGTGTCTAAAAGTGATACAAGTATACATTAAATCTTGTCATCTACTGTATGAGGTCAAAATGGACTTTCTTCAAGTGGAAACGGAGATACAGCATTTTTGTTTGCAAAATGAAGGAGTCAAAATAAAATGTGATAGAGCTAAGCCCCCTTCAGATTTCTTTCTGCATATTGGGGAATTTAATATGAGGTCACATCCCTTTCTCTATAAACTTAGAAATGTGATTCTGTAAACAAGGTTAATAATTCTAAAGAGGGAGAAAAGGGATCATAGATGTAAAAAGAAATAAAGCAAGAAAGCACATTTTATTATGGAGACACGACCTTGTCCAAGACCACTTGTGAAATGAAATTGTTGTTTCCTGGCAAACTGTGTGTACATCTCAATACCACTATCTCAGGTGTTAGCCTAGCTCACTAGATTGCAAAATTTTATGGAAATAATAATGACAATTCATTTTCTACTCTGACAGAGCACCATGATAATCAAAAACATCTAGCAGATGAGGCAAGGAGAGGGAATACTCTATAAACTGTATAACAAAGTATCATCCCTATAGACTGAAGCAATGCTGACCATGTATGTGGACAGTAACAGGAGTAGAAACTTCAGTCGGTTCCCAACACAGGGCACAAAGCAGATGGGAACGTCGGAACCCCCGACAAGTGCCCCTGGTAACAGCGAACTGTGAATAGCACATACAGTTTAACACCATGACTGCTGGGACATATAACATTTGAACTGTCCTGAAGAAATCTAAACCCAATCCCATATGATCTAAACAGGAACTCAGTTAAAAGCCTTGGCAGTGCAAGACAATGCAGAGTGGCAGTGATAAGATGTGTGTATAAGGTGAAGGTGCCAGTGGACAGTATCACAAACAACAGGTCTTTTACAAGCACCTTAGCAAATAGTTTGAGGTCAGGGGAAAATCACAGAGAGAGAAATAACTAAGAAATAAGTTAAGGGCAGCATTAATATCCCTCTGAAATGAGCCCTTTTGAAAGGGACTAGTATCATTTCAAGCAGAACTGGACCCAACATAGGATAAAAAAAGCCAGGTAAAATGCTGGAGGTTTCTTTCCACTTTGATATTAGAGAATGAAACTGTACCTCACTTGATAATACATTTGCAATGGAAAGATCCCCAAGGAGCAGCATTAATGTATACTCACAAGACTGTGTGGCTTAGAAAGTTGCTTTATCATACAACAATCCACAGCTCTAGGAAAGCAATTATAGCTCTATCCCATTCACCATCTATATTCTAAACAAGAGAGAGCACAACTACAAACCTTTTAAATGTATGTCTATAAGTGAAGTATAATGCTAATCACAATTACATCTCCAACCAAGTGAGTGTGCATACAAACACAGCTCAATCCCATTAAAGTGAATGAATCACAGCAGGACAGGTATTTTATTTCAGTCCACAAAGACGGATTATGTGAATGTCACAAGGATAAGAGGAGTGAGACTGTGACATTCAGAACCCCTGAGAATACAGCCTGCTTGTTTTAAACTCCAACAAACAGATCACACTGGTCAAGGGGGAAAGATGACAGGTAAATCATGTTGTTTTCAGAGCAAGTGACATTAACAAGCACCTTGTCAACCAGCTGTAGACTACCTTCACAAGAGGCTCAGATCCCAGGAAGTAGGCTCTGCGATAACCTACCAAGCACACACAGTCTGCCATCTCCAAACACTTCATCCAGCAACACAGAAAGGAGAATGATCATCTGGGATTGTTAACACTGCATCTCTTTGGCACAGTGGCTTTTTTCACATTTTCAGTATTTTGTTGCTCCACTTCAAAGAAGTTTGCTCCAGTTTTTCTATCCCTAAACAACATTCAAATGATTTATCTGCCAAAAATGACATTTCATTTAATCTGATTTAATAATATAATAATCTGTATTGTCTGATGTTACATTTGTTCTTTGTACCTTTGAGCATTAACGGTTAATTTCAGAAAATAAAATTCAACTTTTGCTAAAAAGCAAAAACCTTTGAAAATCACCTTGGTTCTCACACTCAGGCTAGCCCGGATACATGTTTGTTATGGTTATAATGTTGTAATTTAAACTAACATTTTCCATTAGCTTTTTTCATGAGGCGCATAGGTCAACCACTTTAATAATGCCTTCTTGGAAGATAAGAATAAATCAAACTCAAATGTACAGTGAAGCAGCGAGTTTAATCAAGAGCAGCTGTTGGTTATGAACTATGAGATCAATTATCACAAAAGCAAGATCAGATATAAAGTTGTATCTGGCTCCGATCTTGTTTGACCTGTTACTTGCTAGCATTAGTCTGGCCGAGGAGCCGCAGACCTATAGAGGTTCAATAGCAGATTTGCAGCCTCCAAGGCCAGGGATGAGGGACTTGGGACTGGTGTGTAGACCTGGGCAGAAAGCGCTGCATACTGTATGTTGCACAAGCTGAGAGTTGCATTGTCCCACCAGTCTTGTATTTCCATTTTGTTCCCAATACATCAAAGTTTTATCCAGCAATAAACTGTTTAGGGTGCAACCTTGTAATACTTCCTGGGTCAGAGCTTCAGAGTGGTTCAACCAGGGAACGAGCTTGCCCAAGTGTAGGTTCGACTCTCAAACATGTCTCCAGCTGACCATAACGGGCAATTGGCACTTAGCCTTCTGTACAGGGCTGTGCTGCTTGCGACATGTTACAAAGCTGGGTGGCTTAAAAGTGGTCAGAGTAGTCTACCTACACATTCTCATTCCTGCTGGGTGTCTTTCCAATTTGTGAGCTGAGATTTGAACATGCAATTGCATACCAGAGGACTCTAGCTAGTTAAAATGACATTATAGACCAGCTGAACACACAGCAGTAAAACAGATTTACGTGACTCTTTTTCTTCTCCTAGTGAATCTCATAAGTCCAATCCGCACAATAATAAAGTGAAGAGGACTGCATCTCCCACTGTACCTGTTCCTGACAGAACCTTGCATATTCCTTTTAGGCTGCCTTCACATTTTTCACAGCCAGGAGTTTCAAGATTCAACAGTATTGTGGTGCGGTGACTCTCTGGCTAAGGATCTGCACCTGTGGCTGGAAGGTTGCCGGTTTGTATCCTACGGGCCAGCAGAGGAATCCTACTTTGTTTGGCCCCTGAGCAAGGCCCTTAACCCCAACTGCTCCAGCGGTGCCATATAAGTGTCTGATCCTGTCCTCTGACCCCAAGCTTCTCTTCCCGTCTGTGTGTCTCATGGAGAGAATGTTGGGGTATGTGAAAAGAAATTCCTAATCCAAGAAACTGTATACGGGCAATAAAGTGATCTTATCTTATTACAAAGCAAAAAGCCTTCAGATTCTTACCTAAATGGTAGGTATGATGGATTGGACCCAGAGACAAGGGCTCTGTATGCCTCTTCTGGAGTTTTCTTTAGGTAGATAACCTAAAACCAACAACAATGAACAACAAGCATTAGCATACTGCTCACAGACCACTAATCAAAGAGAACCCACAGTAATGATACAGCATAGTTGGGAACACACTGCACACTGAAGGATTCTGCAGACAAGAAGACATAACTAATGATGCAGAACTGATGTAACTGCTGCTGACTGATTTTAAACAGTGGCAAAAAATGTTACTTTAATTTACCTATCAAATGTAATGTCTCCTAAAAGTGAGATTTTATTTCAAAAGCACATGGTACACTGTGTCAGAATTGTTTTTAATATAACACTACAAGACACTGCAGAATGTGATCTGAGTTGTGAAAGATCACTGCAGTGGGTGACAGTTGTTAAGAAGATAATACAGTTGTTAAGAACCAGGTCAGTGTTTTCTGGTTAACCAAATTCCACCAGGGGGGTTGGGAGATAGTGATGACCCATGACAATAAAAGCTCAAAAGTAAGGTTTGTGGGAAGCCTGAAAGACTACAGCACAAAAAAGAATTACTAAGTAAAAAATGCATTTCTGAGACACCCCTGAAGAAGCAGCAGCCCTAGCAAACTTCTCCTGCATAGGCGAGATCAGATCTGTACCACATCCATACTACTTAGGACTGACAAACTACAAAAACCCTACATCTTCAACACAAGGCAGAACACTGGAATCCATTCCACACACAATCATGAGGCTTTGTACACAGCACACCATTTCTGGTCAGAGTCAACAAAAAACACCCATTCTCTGAAATGAAACCCATATGTGAGCACACTCATCAATGTAAATAATAATAATAATAATAATAATAATAATAATAATAATAATAATAATTGCTTACACTTATATAGCGCTTTTCTGGACACTCCACTCAAAGCGCTTTACAGGTAATGGGGCCCCCCCCCCACCCACCTGGATGATGCGATGGCACCCATAGTGCACCAGAACGCTCACCACCCACCAGCTATCAGTGGGGAGGAGAGGAGAGTAATGAAGCCAATTCATAGATGGAGATTATTAGGAGGCCATGATTGGTAAGGGCCAATGGGAAATATGGCCAGGACACCGGGGTTATACCCGTACTCTTTTCAAGAAACGCCCTTGGATTTTTAATGACCACAGAGAGTCAGGACCTCGGTTTTACGTCCAATCTGAAGGACGGCGCCTGTTCACAGTATAGTGTCCCCGTCACTATACTGGCGGCATTAGGACCCACACAGACCGTGGGATGAGCGCCCCCTGCTGGCCCCACTAACACCTCTTCCAACAGCAACCTTAGTTTTTCCCAGGAGGTAAAGGATATCCAGGTGGCATATTTCACCAAGGACTAACATAAATGTACTGAGAAAGACCTGGATCAATCACAAAGTGCTCCTAGTACTACATTTTAAAATCTAAAACTACTACAGCTTGAAAATGAGCAATGGAAAACAGTCTGAACCCGTCATCATTTCAAATCATTTTCACATTACCGTTTTCTTTTAGTTAAAGCAATGAGACAGACTGCAGTTCCACTATTTATCCCACATCTGTGTTCATTTATTTAATCACAGAATTTGAAAACTTGTTCATTTTTAAACCTACAGACACAATAACTTCAAAAACTTCATTACTATGGGCTCACTGAATTCCAGTGTCTTTCCATGATCTAAAGCACTGCTGAACTTCAGACCTTAAATTAAGTGGAAATAAACCTACCAGAACCAAAAACAAATTGTTTGTATTTACCCAAAACACCTGCGGCCCAATATCAGATATTATTTTCAATGGGGCTCAGTGACTAGCTCTGTGCCAAAATACAGCCAATCATATGTTTTGCAAGCCACAGCCCATATCATTTGACCCCCTTGTAAACAACTGAAGCTAACAACAGAAAAAAGCTCCATGATCATCATTTCTTTTTCCATGCATCTTGTAAAAGTTTGCCTTGAGAGCAGAGTAGAATACGTGAAACAGTGCATGAAGAATGTTCTGTCATGGAAAGAGGAGAGCTTTGTTATTTCTGTCTTGCTCATAAAATATTTACCATTGCAATATCAGATCCTGCTGAATAGGACTGTATTAAAATGCTGTGCCTGGAATGCAGGGGAGCTATGCAGATTGTCTGGATTGCACGTGACCCAGAGGAAATGTGGGATTCCAGTGCCAGATGCTCAATAAAAGTTGAATAATCCCCTTTCTAAACCAGGGCAGTGGTAAAAAAACAAACTAGAAACAAATGCGTATGGAGGTATCAATCTTTAATAAACCTCAGTACAGCCTGATGTCCATCTGCACGTAACAACAAAGCCCTCTAAAAGGACAGTGGGAGAGTGATTGGTTCACAAGTCACTTCCACATTTGTATAAGCAAAATACCATACCTATACCTCCACAGCCACAGGATTCATAGAAAGCCAAAAGGCACCACTCCGCTTAATGGATCACTCTCTATTAAGTAGCCAACATCCTTAAAATAATAAGGGAAGTGGTGAACAATCACTGCGCTCTTCAAGTCATTCCTGATCAGGGAAAGTGAAAAGAGACTGAGCCTTCCTCTCATAAGTTCAAATGCACAAACAGCATAGCAAATCACTTCAGCAGCATGAGACGTACAAGACAGTTGTGAATCTCAGTCACAGGAGGGTCTTTTAGTTTGCAGGTTAGAGCCCACCAGCCTTACAGCCAACAGAGAGACTATGCAGTCACAAAGACCAAATTACTTTTCTAGGTCAAAGCCAGTTTTTGATGAAGGAGTAGGGCTTGTTTATGTATTACAGTATATATTAAGTTTTAATTATAGACTTCTTCCTCTTTCAGAGAAAAAGATTTATTCCTGCACTCTGAAATTAATGCTGATCTCTCAGATAGCTCTCCTCCCTTCAGTAGAAGATAATACCTCAGAGATTAATTTTACCAGCTTCCCCAACTCAGATTAAACCATTCCCCAGTGACCATTAAATCCTCTGTAATGTAAATACTGGAGGGCACAGTTTCTTACTGGTATTCTATACATGGAACATCATAGGTTTATTGTACAAATAAGAAGCAGCCTAACTAACAAAGGCTGTCTAGTTTGCACAGGCTACTACTGGACGTGAAGAGTCATTTTCAGTGACACAGCAACTACTAGAATTAATTTCTGCACCTAATTTATTTCTGTAATCTCCAATGACTTCCTCACTGAACCAGTCTGAAATAGCTGACCCTAGAATGAAACTGGCATATGCATGAGAACTAGATGCTTAACTTTTTTCTATTGGTTAAATAAGGTCATTTAAGGTAATTCCTCCACTGTACAGGCACCCATAGTTGTTTCTAGCTGGGCATTCTTTCTGGGAAAAGCCCTAAGGCAGGGTATCGGCTGAGCAGTTTGTTCCATACTTCCACAACCCTTTAGCTAAATACATGCCTCCTGTTCTCAGTTTTAAATGTACTTTCATGTAGTTTCCAAATTCACTGCCTGGTTTATGTTTCACTGACCCTTCTGAAGAAATTCGCTGTTTTTAAAGATTTCAAATGTTTGTCACCTTGTAGTCTGTTCTGTAACTGTTCAAAACTAAAAAGGTACAGTTCCTTCAGTCTGCCAGTGTAGTGCATTCCTTTAAACCCCATAATTTATATGGTTGCTCTTGTATGGATTGATTCAAGAGTAGAAAAATCTCTTCTACTACATGCTGACCAAACTGTACAGACTATTCTAAATTAGGCCTTACTAATGCATTACAATTACATTCACACGTGTGGATCCTGCTGTGTTGGTATGATCTGCCAACATGTCTAAGTTATTAACTACTGTAAACCAGCATCTAGAGCAGTGTTGTAAATGGTGAACATTGTCCCTAGTACAGATTGCTGTGGTACTCCACTGATTACATCAGATCAGTTAGAGCTATTTTCCTTGCATTGCCAAGAACTTTGCCATTATTGTTATGGAAACATTTGACTGTATAATTAACTTCATCTCTCTTGGCTTCATCCTTTTTTACCTGCACTTGCAATTCATTGTACTCCCTTTCAACAGTCTCTTCAGCGGTTTGATTTATTCTGAAATCAATTCTGCTACACTATACCAAAAACAACAGAAGAATCAAAAAGACCAAGCACTCCTGGGCTGTAATCTCTTGCAGACTGGGAACAGATGTTAATATGAGTGTTTTCACAGCATTACAGGGAGTCAGGCCATTCAAACACCCCACTGGAAGAAACAGGAACCATCCTACAGAATAATTTCAAAAGTGCTCTCTCTCTCTCTCCCCCTCCCTCCCTCCTAATGGTGTCTCATATTGTATAGGCTTCTGCTGCACACTGCCACTTCAAAGAACACAGTCACATATAGCAACCACAGTGAAAAGTAAACACTCAGCGGCAATGTTCCACCAGGGAGCCATGAGGAATGAAACGGGGGAATGGAATGCATGGGAAATGAGAGTCATATCTTGTAAAAAGATCCTTTTGAGAACTGCTGCTCACAGACACCTCAGGAGAAACCCAAGGGCAGTTTTACAATCCTCCAGTTTCACACATCACCTCTGACAAGAAGCCACCTATAATGAGATATTATGGTTCCATGTTGTGACAACCTTAAAGTGTTTTCCTGCTGCAACAGGAAGATACAACATTTCAACTGTCCCTCTAAACCCTCTATTTTTCAAGTTAAACTGGATTTGTCATGCATACCAAACACAGCTCTCACAAGAACATTTCTTTCCTACGGACGTCACACCACTGTGCTAGAGTCACAGGAATGGAATAGATACAGAAAATAATTAAATGTAAATTTATACTCGGCGATAGACCCTCATCATGAGATCAGAAGAACGCTGAAAGGAACCTCTCTAACAAAGAGTATGGTGATATTTAACTTTTAATGAAGGCAGGGCATTTAAAAGAACAGAGGACACAAAGAGACATGTTCACTCCCCATTCCTTTGTGGAGGGAGAACTTGATTACAGTAGAGCCATTTCACAGGATCAGCTCAGCTGTTTAGACTGCGTATTATAGAAGAACCAGAGTAAAGATCTTTATCACTCTTCCTAAAATGCTAGTACAAGTATATTCAGCTGTTCCTCATAGTAATCTGGAAGGATTACACAACACCGCAAGCACTGCACAACACAGACAAAAGGGGAGGAACAATAGATATACTCACCGCGTAGGCACCGATTAAAACAGCTGCATCTGCCCTTTTCCGTTGGTCGAAGCTGGTATAATGGACAATCCTTTTCCTTGACAGTGTAAAAGACTTAAAGAAAAAAAAAGTTAGAATTTTGGATGTGCATTGCAGTTCAAATATAACTATTCCCCGTCTGTCAACCTGCCATCATGCTGTGGCTGTATTACCCCAATAATGAAACGTGAAGCTCTTTAATTGCAAATATTCTGCAGCATCGGACATTTAAAGACAGAGAATGAAGTCACCCTGCCTTGAAAAGCAATATGATGATAGTTTTCTTTTCATGGTAAACAGGAACATTTTTTTCATGTTTTAAAACACACTAGTTAAAATACAAACCATATTTTATACATATCATTATATAAAAAATACATCTGAATTTCAATATTAAGGAAGCCTGATATAGACATATTTACTGGTTATTTTAATATATGTCTTATATATGGTATTTATTCTGGAACTTAACATGATTTAAAGAAGTTTCAACATTTAGTTTCAAGCTTTTCAAAAACCCTTATATGTGTCTTTTATACAAGTATATCAACATATCTAGCTCCAAGAATGAAAATCCAGCCTTAAAATCCAGAAGAAAGTCTGACAACACCAATGCCAGTGTATATTTCAGCATTACAGTGTCCCAGCATAAATGCCACCCTCCTGTAAAGACAGAACTCAGTAGTTCAATGAGCACCACCAAGAAAAAGATAAAAGAATCCTGATTAGGATTAGATGTGGTCTAATTTTTAAAGGCATTATTTCTCATTTATATTATATAATATATTATATTATTCTCTATTATATCTAGTAGTACTGGTATATGAAAAAAAAGAGGAGGAAAGAAAAGCTGAATTTTGTCAAGGATCATGGTGGTAACAGGCTGAGTAGTGGGACCAGACTTCCCTTTGCCCAACAGTCTCCTTGGGGATTGCGAGGTGCTCCCAAGCATGGGTGAGCCTAGGGGTTTCTTCCCAGTGGGTCATGTCTGGTGCACCGCCAGTGGAAGGCACCTGGGGACAGCCTCATCAGATGCCCAAGCCACCTCACCTGGCTCCTTTTGATCCAAAAGAGCAGTGTCTCTATGCCAAGGTCCTCCCAGATTGCTGAGCTCCTCACCTTGTCACAGAGAGTAAGCCCAACACCCCTACCTCATTTCTTCTGCTTTTACCCACAATCTCATTCATTTAGGTGACTACCCAAAACCCATGACCATAAGTGAGGGTGAGGACATAAATTGACTGGAAAACCAAGAACTTTGATTGCAAACTCACTTCCCGCTTCTCCACCATGGTAAACTGCTGGTCAATCTCATGATCCCCCACTCCTTCACTCATGAATAAGACCCTGGTGCATTTAAACTACTCCATCTGGAGCAGCTGTTCCCCCCCTCACATGGAGAGGATTCCAGGACCTCAGATTTGGAGATGCTGATCTTTAATCGGGCCGCAATACACTCAGCTGATGGATGTACAGTATGCCAGAGATCACAGGGAGATGGTCTTACTCACTGACTTGAAAAAGGCTTCATTCAGGTGGCTTGCTCTGTATCCCTGTATTATTTATTATTCACACAAAGGGGTGTGGGAGTATGGAACAAGCTACCCAGTTATGTTGTTGAAACAAATAGCCTGGTTTCTTTCAAGAAACAGCTAGATAAAATCCTTGGATCAATTAACTACTACCGAATGGGTTAAATAAGCCAAATGGATTCCTCTCATAAGTTCTTAATGCATACTACCCTTATAAGTGATTCTTGAATGAAGCCTTCCAGTACATTCTTTATAAACATGATTCATTCATAATATTTCCTTACACTTATATAGCACCTTACTGTAAACTCCATTCAAAGAGCTTTACAGGTAATGGGGACTCCCCACCACCACCACCAATGTGCAGCTGCCACCTGGATGATGGTGTGCCAATATGTTCACCACACGGTGATTATTAGGAGACCATGACTGGTAAAGGCCAAAGGGAAATTTGGCCGGGATGCTGGGGTAACATCCCTACTCTTTTCGAGAAACACTCTGGGATTTTTAACAGAGAGTGTCAGTACAGTGTCCCCATTACTATACTGGGGCATTAAGACCCACACAGACTGCAGGGTGAGTGCCCCCTGCTGGCCCCTCTAATACCTCTTTCAGCAGCAACTTTAGTTTTTTCCAGGAGGTCTCTCATCCAGGTACTGACCAGGCTCACATCTGCTTAGCTCCAGTGGGTTGCCAGTTCGGAGCTGCAGGGTGATATGGCTTCTGTACATGATTAGTATTTGGCAAATGTCTTTAAACACAATGTCTTTGCCTTCATGAAGTTGATGGCACCAGTGCAAAACAGCCACAGCCTCTGATAGGTTACAACGAAAAGGAGAACCTAGCAGTAAAATATTTCAGCTACTTTTGATAAACGTTGTCAGGATATCCGAGTTTCAGTAAAAACTATTTAAGTTAAATTCCAGCTTTAAAAGAAGGGGGCGAACAGATGCAAGTCTACAGGTAGCAGCTTGAAAAAATTCTAAGTTCTTTCCTTTATCCATGCATGACATAGCAGGAAGCCAGCTGTCATTCCTGTCCACCCAGGTATTTCTATACCTTTATTTTAGTAAAACTTCTGCAGCCTTTGGTAGTGCCTAATAAAAACACTCTGTTCATTAATTGGTATGAATCCATAAATATATGCATGAAGGCTTTGTAAAAGTGTATCTGGCAAACAGAAGGATCATCAAAACATCTGAAGAAAGCAGCTGCTACTCTATTTGCAACCAGGTTTGTCTTTGCATGACTTTATCCCAGACCTTCTGATGGCCCTGATGCAGCCTGTTAAATGGCTGGGAGGCCAGTGGTCTGCAACTTGACTAGAAAGATCTGAGAGGGGAATCTGACAGCTATGAAGCAACGTTAACACGCCTTTGCTATGAGGAGAGTTACCACGTGGAGAAGGCAAGTGGTAACAGAGCAGGTCTGACACTGCATAATGAGCAAAAGATTTATGGGCTTGATCAAACTCTACCAGACAAGTATGTGACAGGACAATGCAAGCATGCAGGGATCAGCCCATATAGGGCATCACACTTCTTAGTTCCATAGTCTGGGCTTAATCAAAACCCAGAAGATGTGAACAACTTTATAACACACAGCGCTCCGTGCACATGCACTGTAAACCTTGTCAATTCCCAGTAGGGAAATGAACAGGGATTGCACGGACAGACACTCTATCAGAATTAGGGTCACCTCTTAGTAAAGCTCTACTATTTGCCAGATTGCAGATTCCACCTTCCAGTTAGTCCTTTCAACTCAGCAGCTCACAGTATATCTGCTTATGTATATCCAGCCCTCACCTCATGTGATGCTGATGTGTTGTGAGTGTACTAGTGCACCTTGGCTGCTGTTGCATCATACAGGTGGGTACAAGACATTCGTTGTGGTGGAGGGAACTCCAAATTACTTGTAAAGTGCTTTGAGTGGAGGATCAGAAAAGTGTAAGGAATTATTATTGCATAATGCCACGATCACAGTTGATTTAGTGCTGGTTTTGCACATTTCTTGTGGACAAATTAGATCTGCTTGTTAATAGTGAGTATTGCCATATTATACTTCAGTAACAACATGTCAAGAACACCTCTTTCTTGCTTCTTTTAACTACAATGCAAATTACGTTTTCCAGGGGAAAGGCAATTTCTGAATACCTGTTCAGACAATTTCTGAATTTCTGAGTGCCTGTGCGAGGACTAAGTTTACCCACTGTCTGTCTACAACACTCAAGTCCTTTCCTCAGTCCAATTCCCAGTAACCAGAACTTCAGAAACTGTTTTTCCCAAAAGGTTGTCAAACAGAAAAAACAACATGGCATCGTGCAGAACACATTCTCCATTCTGACATCCGCAAGTCAAAGGTATTTTGCTACCCATTTAAAAGTATTAAAGACATGCAAAACACGGGGGGGAAAAAAACCTTTTGTTAATTTTTGCAGTGGCTGCATCTCCACAGTTTGGAGAAAATACATAAAAAATTCCCTCCAAACACCCCCTTGGAACATGCTTTGTGAAGCAGAGAAGTGCAGCTGCTACACACCAAACTCTGCATCTGGACAAACCACCACTGTCAAAGGGCAGAGAGTCACAATTTCAGCCTTCTCTTTGTCACTGGGAGGCTCATTTGAATATTTGTAAAAAAATCCCAAACAAAGGAAATTAAAGTAAGCTGAAAGTTCATATTGTTCATTTTTTAAGAGTGTGATAGCAGCCAGTAGAGCCTAGCCTATTGTAAAAGAAATGGCAGAACAGCAGAACACAACCTCTACTGGCATGGGTAGTTTCAACTCAAGCCCTTCAGAGTCCAGCCAGTGCTGTGCACAGACCCAATGTTCTTCACTTCTCCTGGCAGCAGTCCAGAGCTGAAGAGCTGGACACAAAGTTGCATTTGCAAAGTTGGAGAAAGCAGCACTCCTGTGCTGTGCCGAGCCTGTGCCTGGCTCTTCCCTGACCCTACAGTAAGTCTCCCTCAGGTTTCAGTAGCAGTGAAGTCCCCTCATTGTGATATTCTGAAATGAAATTCTTCAGTTTATGTTTATTAACACTGCATTAGTATCTAGACACATGCTTTCTTGACATACTCAGCATAACTTGATCCAGACTGAAGCAGTGAGTATTTTATAAACAGTTGAGGTTCATTCATTGTGCTGTATTGGGAGCAGTGACTGCAGCACTGTTTGGAGGTCATCTTACAGTTCCAGGATTTCATTACCCTGCATTATTTTTCAGGAATTCTTGGTTTTTATGAAACATGCATAGGGGAAATAAATGTGTCTCCATCCACTGTCTTGTCAATTTCAATGCTGGTGGTGCTATTTTGTGAAGGTCATGAGTGTTATGGACAGTGTTAAGTCCTCAGACCACTAAAACTTGGCAAGACTGACAAAGACAGGGATCTCTAAACATGATAAATTGAACTAGAAAAAATAACAAAAATAGTACAACAGAAAAATATTAATTCTACAGCAAAAGATTTCGACAGTACCGCAAAGCACTGTTCCATATTTTAAAAATATGTACAGGTTCATATGGGGACATTTTAATTCTTTGAAGCAGAAAACATTGCATTCTTCTCTGTCACCAGTCAGACATCATCATCACCAGAATGGACTTCTCTCACTTGTAACCTTGTCACCAGTAAGAAAGAACCAAATAAGTAACCACATTAATTGGTACTGGTACAATTAATGGTACAAACTACTTAAGAAATTATATCTCCGAGACACTTCCCTCCAGTGCAAGGAGAGAAAAACACTCTCAGTAGTTGCAGAATTACAGTGGTCTTTACAGTCTACAGTCTGGCATATCTTTAGTTGTTAAACTGATCAGTAAATCAGAATTACCAGCCCATTATTTTTTAAATGGATGAAAAAGTAATTAACCACATTTCCCTCTGTCCTCTCTTTAGGTCTAACTCCCCTTCAGGAGCACACAAAGAAAAAATAAATAAAATGGGAAATAATATAGCAGATATTATCCACATAGATGTCTCAAATTCCCTTTTTCTAAAAATAAAAAAAGATTTTTCACACTACTGCACTTTCATAACTACACAGATCTTATGATATGGCTGAACACACTACTAATTACTTTTACTATTATAAACTGCTTTTAGGTGACCCTCAGACCTATACAATAAATAAGCCAAGCACTGAGAGAAGTGCTTATCTGGGCAATCAACATGCAAGCAAGAAGCAGGAAACCCATCAAAATACACATCTTAAGCAGCAGCCTTGTCCATGGTTACAGTGTTTGCTTAAGATTGCCTTCATTAAGCAAGACTGGCATTATCAGCACAGCAGCGTGACTTGATGCTCTCAAATACAGTGCACTATCACATGTGATCAATCAGTGCTGGAGTCACTACCTCCCCTTTATAAAAAAAAAACACTGACATGCAAACCCAAGCAGTGACATTACAGGAATGCTCTCTCCATGGCAACTTATACAAAACAATGCAGATGCAGTGGGTGCAGCTCCACCAATACAACTCCATGCTCTTGCGTTTTTACCTTTAATATTCTCAAACAAGTATACACCACAGAACTACACATCTGCTGTCAGACAAAAGAAAAGCTGCTATTAATGCAATATACATTGTTTTGCATTTTTCACAGTAAGAAGATAGAACAGAGCTAAAGGAGTTAAGTCTTGATTCTCAGTATTTCCAATCTCTTAGTTTAACAAGGATAAAGAAATGTCTCAGCAACCTATAGCCTGGGAAGAATTATTTCATAATGTCAGTTTGTACAAATCAGCTTAACAGCTTTTGTGATCTTAAAAGGGAATGAACATCATCTGGTCTCTCTTGCTCGAGTACATTCACATGATGAGTATGCTGACATTACATGGGCTGAGGTCTGCCCTGAGTGGTTTCTAGGGAAGGAGAAATGACCAGAAGGATAGGAGAGCAGAGGTGTCACTACTACAATGGCACATTAATTAGTACCGGTACAATTAATGGTACAAACTATTCTATAACTAATTATATGCTATTTAACTAATCTAACTATTGTGTATCCTATTTAATTTCATCCGTGGGACAGTTGACGTTTCATTGAGCTATGAGATTCTCAGCAGTTTACTTCATGCTCTAAAACCAACTCTGCATTTACTAGTCAGTGTGCTGGGTCCTGCTTTGTTTGTGTTAATTGATGGATTCATAGTAAATGGGCCTTAAAGAGAGTCATGGAGCTGCAGGAAGACCTGATGAATCCCAGCGGCATGTCTTTTCATGCACCTGCTTGTGAGCTTGGAGAACTGTTCTAAAACCGATTTAACTTCAAATTATTTAGGTAAACTCCAATATATACCATAGCAGGTAATGAGTTTCATATCTATATCTTCACCTATATATAAAAGTATAACCAGGGTTACATATGATAAGAGGCCAGTCAGCACAACATAGTAGCTTAAGAGAAAATAAAATCAGGACCCTAAATGATATTTTCTACCCTCTTAATGCACCTGAAGGAAAAACAATTCCTGTGCATGGAACTGTAAAGTCTGACTTCATAATGAAGCTTATCCTGTCGCTAAACTGCTCTAATGTACCATCAACAACAGCATGCACAAGGGAAACAGAGCTCTCATCCCAGTCCTGGAGAGCCCCAGTCTACTTATGTAGTATTTCTGGAGACGTGCATCCTGGTAGCTACTTACAAATTCAATCAGTAATCTGTTCAATTAAGAGTACGCTTGGAGGCTGCAGGATACTTAAGGTTTTGATCCAAAATTATATCTCAATTAAGCTACCAAATCACCTGCTTCACAGGTCACACACAAATTGCTCCTAATCTTTAGATCACTTAATGATGATCTCTGAAGCTTGCTGCACTGGGGCTCTCCAAGACCTGGGTGTAGAGACGTACCAGATGACAAGCTATTTCTGCTCTCCCAGCCTGAAGTCAGAGAAGATCCTCTGATAAAGCAGGGTTATACAGTAGATGTGGAGAACGAACCAGTGCTCCCATGTGCTAACATGGCCTCCTCTAAAACTTCATCTAAAGTTCCTAAAGTCACTTCTTCTGGACAAATCAGATCTGCTTGTTAATAGTGAATATTGCCATGTTATACTTCAGTGATAATATGTCAAGAACACCTCTTTCCTGCTCACAATTATTAACTGTCCCTTTCATGTGGGATCGGAATGGCTTTCTCTTTCCCAATTTATTATTAAATTAGACAAATCAACTAATTAGAAAGTATACTTGCAAGTAATCTCAAAGCACTTGGATGCATCTGCACACTGTTAGGAGAAAGGACTTATTCCATTTATGATAAGTCTTCAATAGATAGCTTTGTCTCTTTTAATGTTCTTATAAAAGCAAATGTTAGAAAAGTCAAAAGTACAGAATTTAAATCAACATACTTCTACAAAATTGTACAGTGTACTAGTGACACCTCATTTAGAAATATTATATACAACTTTTCTCACCATGTTGCAAAAAATATATATTGCTGCTGTGAAATAAGTCTAGAGAAGGAGGAGAGAAACCAGATTCATTTTTTAAATTTAAGGAAATATCCCACACTGACTGACTGGAGGAGCTGAATCTCTTTACTTGAAGAGTAGGAAGGCTATGAGGGGAATAAAATATTCAAAAACTTCAAATACAATGACAAGTTCAACCCAACAGATGTCTTCAGACTCGACGGTGAAATACAAACCAGAGGACATGAAATAAAGCTACATTTAAGAATGTAGTAGTTCAGGTGTGTAGCTGCATCAGCATGCGTAGGTTACAAAGGAACAAGTAACAGGTTTATTCCATGCTGAAAAGAGAAGAAAGAAAACACAATATTTCGTCCGTGGAGCCCTCACATCTGAAGATGACTCCATGGCCAAAACGTTGTGTTTTCTTTCTTCTCTTTTCAGCATGGAATAAACCTGTTACTTATCCATTTAAGAATGACAACAGGAGGTATAGTATTTCCACACAAAGGGCTGTGGATGAATGCAGGAGAAGCTATGTTTTTGAAACTAGTACCCAGAGTTCCTTCCACAAATGGATGTACAAAACCCTTGGAATTACTTTGAGCTTCCTCTGTTTTGTAAACTTTCCATGCGTTCTTAATATGTACCTCCTAAGAGGTACCCTGTTGAAAATGAAAATGGGTTGCTTTCATCGATATACTGTATATGAAAAATTGGTCAAAAGGGCTTGTGCCAACAACCCATCCAAAGCGAACACAAACAGATTTTCATGCCCGAATACAAGAAGGCCTGAGTATAAGAATACTCCTCCAGCAGATCAGGTATTACAGCATACAGTACTTATTTTTAAATGGAGGAATGAGATTAACCTTTGTAAGACGTAAAGCCTAAATTTTATTATAACAGATACTAATGAGGAGGCTGATCCAGGTCTGCCTCTGTGCCTGGGTCTTTGAACAAGCTTGAGACACAAGTGAATCAGTGGATTAAGAGAGAAAGGCGATTACTTCACCACAAAAATACAGAGGATTTAAGGGACACATGGCACCTGCACGAGTACAATGAGGATTTCCCAGTTCTTATGTACAAATTTGAGAGTCTCAACTACAACAAAATAGTTTTACTTTTTCTGCTTGTAAGTGAAAGATATTTCTCACAAATGAAATCACAACGTTTAAACAGCCTAATAATCCTCATTAAAGGGGGGTAAATTATCTAATGGGAAATTAATATCTAAGCCTATTCGTTTTTACATTTGGTAATGAAACAAGATTCCATATCCCTGATCAATAAAGAAATGATAACATTTTAAAACTTCCCACTAGATAAATTTTACTATTACTTTGTGTGAACAGGTAAGATTTCATTCACTCACTTTAACAGGCAATAAGAATCAAGTGCCCAAGTTACAAAGGGGAACTGGGGAAGCCACAGAGCTCCAGGCCTTCCCTCCCTCATTGACTGAAACAGATCCATTGACAGATTCTAAAAAGTAAAACTTCCTGTTGCTCCTTTGACACATCGACTCTCACAGCTCTGAACACGAGTCTATATCGTAGTGGAAGAATTAGCACTCCTTGTTGATGAATTGTTGGTTCTCAAGGTGCAATTTATTGCTTTAATAAAGAAAATGTGCATGGGGTTCAATTTAAAACATCCTGGTGCTTTTTAAATAACATTTTCATGAACTGGAAAAACACCTTTCTTCATAAATACCATTTATTACAAAATAGCTTAATTTATTTGTTCGTGCATGCAGTCATTATTGTGCCAACTTAAGCAAGAGTTCAAACCCACACACATCCATGTCACAACTGCTGCTTTCATCACGCAATCAGTGAGGGACAAGAATTCTTGACATGCTGTTGTACAGCACATCCTGAACCAGCAGGAGAGGTGTGAACCATACACATGACTGAAACTTACCTTTAGTTTTTTGTTCAGTTTACAGCAGTATCTGTACAACATAGCCAGGTTGAGAGGGCCGAAGTCCGCATAAAAGCTGGAATGAAACAAGAGCAGTTAGAGGAGACTCCAGGACATGCTTGCTACTGTACCATCACTAAGACAGTATGCAACCAATCTTCACATTTTGACAGGATAAAAGTGCAAGTACACAGAGAAACGTTTATACACAAGAAAGTGGTGCAGTTTTGTAAGATAATCTTTTTTTTTAATTAAGAACACAGTGTTTCGTTAACCTTTAAAAGTTTAAACTTGGTGAGGATACAATCCTCCAGCTAAGCACTTAAAATGCAAACTAATACCCCTCAGCGTGATCTGCATTTTATTAAATGAAGCGTTAAAACCCATCAATTAAAAGAGCTTACATAATGTCCGAGTTCAGCAAAATAGACACTTGTTGGCTGCTGTCAGAACGAGGGGAGGGAAGAAAAAGAACTTACTTTTCATAGACGAACTCGTCATCCGTGCAGAAGTAGTGCGTGTTCACGGTGCTTTTTGGCTTGTTTCTCAGGGTGGCGAAATACAATCGATCTAGGAAACACAAGAAACTCAGCTGCAGCGCGCGTGCAGTCAAAGTACAGTTCACAAGCTGCTTCCAGTACATGAGCCTCGCGCCGGGCGACTCCTCGGCCTCTGGGGTCAAAACACAGTGCAAACGGGAAGGGTGCATTAACTCCCACACGCTACATTTTAGGATCTCACAACTGTGTTTGGTTTTAAGGGTTAGTCCAAGAGCCCCACGAAATCTTAGTTCTTCATTGTTATTATTCAACCTCTTCGTATCTCAAAAGTCCGCCCGCCTGAGCAAAGAGATGTTTTAGGGTTAGACGCAACTTTTGCGCATCGTAATCGTCAAATATTCAAATCTGATCTATGACCGAAATATGTGTACATGATACAACGTGGTGTGGGAAAACCTGTAGTACTCCTAACCACTATACAGCCACAGCAGGATAAATTCATTTTCCCTCCGAGGACTCAGCTACTGGAGAAAAAACAAAGATCAAGTATACCTTACATTTAATAACTTTTTACCAAAGAGAGAGATAAACAGCATAATAGATTTGAAGAAAGGTCACCGTTCTCGCAATTAACCACTAAAAAACAAATTAGTTACAAAGGGACGTTACAAACAAAAACAACCAGCGTTTCCACTTTTATAAAAGTGAAGTTAAAAAGACAAAATGTGTGCCCATCCGAAATCCGGATTTATTGTGGATACACTGTGTGGCAACGGTACAACGCAAGTGCTGACCACGGGTAGCTATTTAAATCACAGTAATCTCCCCACAGAAGCTCCGAGAGCCTCCAGGACTTACCTTTAATAAACTCTGAAGCTCCGAGAAGTTCATTATCATCTGCCATTTTAAACAAAGTCGAAAGAAGTGTGGAATGTTTAAGGCTATCGAGATTCATGGACAGTAATCGCAAGACGCAGAACGAAAACGCAATTAAAAAAAAGACAATACGCTCAATGTCCAGGAAAGCAAAACTGGAAGCTCTCCTCGGACAGTCGCTAATAATAGCGGAGCTGTAGTAGCGCAATCACGGAGGGGTCACTGCGCATTCCACAACAAGTTCCATGGCGAAAGGAAACCACTCGAAAAAGTGAAGAGCAAGATTCGCTGCGGTTCTTCCCCCCCCTCCAACGAAGGGTGTGGTAAATATCTCCGCTTCCTCGGGAGGCTTTTACTTCTCTCCGAGCCAAGTCTTCAGCGCAAATCAAGTCTCCTCCATGGCTGCACACAGCGGCCACTGAGAGCAACATCTTAAAGTGGCATCACATGGTTACCAGGCGCCAATCGCTACACAAAGGAGCGTTGCTAAGGCTTGGTCTCCTCTAACCTATCAGCGTGCGAGGCGCTGCGTGTGGGAACGCCTCTCGGGCAGGCCGAGCTCAGTGTGCTGAGAGCGGTGCGGCGAGTGTTTCTTATCAAGCTGGGGAGCACAGTGGCAGGCCGAGCAACTAGCGAGCTGGAGCGTTATGTGTGTCTCTGATACCTGGAATTAAGACAAAATATAAGGTTTATTTTTATGTACAATTAGGTTTATTTTGTGTGTACTGTGTGTACCATCCTGAAACAGAATGACTGGGCTAGGCCAGTGTTGGGATAGGGGACCTTCAGGTCTCTGCTATGAGCAGAGTTTGTGTACCTTTAAGCTTGGTTCTCTGGCCCACAATTTCCAAACGCGTGTGGAGTATGGTTTAGGCATCCGCTTTAGGAGGCACCAGACTTTGATTTTACACTGAGGTCATGACTACTCAGTCATAAGTGATCCCATGCATCTAGGCTGTTCAAAAGTTTTTTGGTGGTACTGACGGTGTCCTGGCTAAATTCCGCTGTGGGCTTTACAATCCGATCTTCAGAAAGTTCCCCCTTCAACAGGTGAAGCAGTTTCTCCCTCTTCTCCCTTACCTGCTATGCAGTGGGACTGTGTTGTGTCACCCAGGTGGAGATTCAGCAATTGATGAAGTGGATCCCTGCTTGTTTGTAAAGCTGTTTGGATTTTTTAGAACAAAAAGCTTTATAATAAGGACAGTTATTCATCCATTATGAGGTCTCCAGGCAGGACTACAACCAGGGCTGGACTCATATACTCAAGACAATCCGGAAACACTGCTGAGATTCTTATTTTCAGTCACCACAGTATTGGATACGACAAGCATCACATTGTTTTCTGTAATAACAAGACACCAATCAGCTTAGCCATGCTAGAAGGAGGAAAGAAGCCAAAGCACCCAGGGAAAGACCACCTGACCACAGGGAGAACATGCAAACTCCACACAGAAGGCACCCTGGGTCAGAGTTCCAATAGATTTCTACATCATTCTACCTGTGAAATATGTGCACTCCTTCCTCAGAAACACACTTACATTTCCACTCAGGTTGTGAGTGCACCCTGGCAGACTTACGTTTGGAAACACCAGACAGTCGTGACCTCTTGCATGTTGAAAGTTGGCCAAACAAGCAAAGGACATACTCCAGGAATGATGCCCAGAATAAAATGCTTAATTGTACAAATATCTTCATTACCCAAGTCACTTAGGAGCCCCTATATTTACCCAGAGTTTGATGAGAACTGAATATCAAACACACTCTACAAGATAAGCTTGTTGTTTTATGGTTTGCTTCAACAATCATTGCTATTAGGTAATGTGAAATTATACAGGAACAACACCAAATATTTATCCTGTTTCTAACCTCTAATAATCTATACAGTTATATCTTAACAGTGCAGTGAGTTCAGATATTTGATGTCAGGACTGTGTAGCTGGGTCTGATCCTGAAGGATGATGCAGATGCAGATTTGACTCACAGAGAAGCTGCTATCTCATTGATACCCATCAATAAGGTTTTACTGGGGTCAGTGTTTTCCCTGGAAGCTAAGAACTATTCAAGCTCATATATATAGTGCCTTGCAGAAGTATTCACTCCTTGGACTTTTTCCACATTTTATTGTGTTACAGCATGGAACCATGATGTGTTTAACAGATGTTTTGCCACTCATCAACACAAAGTACTCTATAATGTCAAAGTAAAAAAATCCTACTAAACTCACCCCCCCAAGATTTAATACTTGGTAGGACCACCTTTGGCAGAAATAACAGCTGTGAGTCACTTTGGGTAAGTCTCTATCAGCATTGCACATCTTGACACTGGAATCTTTGCCCATTCTTCTTGGCAAAATTGCTCAAGCTCCATCAAGTTGGATGGGAACAGTTTGTGAGCGGCAATTTTTAAGTCATTCCACAGATGCTCGATGGGATTGAGGTTTGGGCTTCGACTGGGCCACTAACAGGACATAAACATTTTTTTGTTTTTAGCCACTCCTGTGTGGCTTTTGCTGTATGTTTCTGGTCATTGTCCTGTTGGAAGATGAATCATCTTCCAAGTCCTGGTGCTCTTACGGATTGCATCACATTTCTCCAGGATTTTTCTGTACTTAGCTCTATCCATTTTTCCTTCTATCTTTATGAGTTTTCCAGTCCCTGCTGCAGAGAAGCATCCCCAAAGCATGATGCTGCCACCACCATGCTTCACTGTAAGGATGGTGTTCTCAGTGTGATGTGCTGTGTTAGGTTTGCACCAAACAAAGTTCAATTTTGGTCTCATCAGACCATAGAGTCTTCCTCCAAATTGTTGAGACTCTCACATGCCTTTGGGAAAACTCCAGCTGAGATGTGATAAAAGTTTTTTTCAACAAAGGCTTTCTTCTTGCCACCCTTACGTACAAGCCAAATTTATTAAGTGTTATTGTTGTCTCATGCACAGTTTCTCCCATCTATGTCATGGAGGACTGTAACTCATTTAGAGTTGCTGTAGACCTCTTGGAGGCCTCCCTTACTGCTTCTTGTCCTGACACTAATTTTGGAGGACAGCCAGTTCTGGGCAGGTTCACAGTTGTTCCATATTTTCTCACCTTTTAAATAATGGACTTCACTGTGCCTTGAGATATATTCAATGCCTTGAAAATTTTCTTATATCCTTGTTCTGACTGGTATGTTTCAAGAACCTTGTCTCAGATCTGGTTGGAATGTTCCTTGGAAATACGCTAAGTGAGGAAGCTCCCAGACACAGGTGTATTTATTCTGAAATCATGTGAAACGCATCAACTGCACACAGGTGGGCTCTAGTCAAGTAATAATGTGACTTGGAGTTGGTTACTTCAGAGGTAATTTAGGTGTGTCAAAGCAAGGGGGTGAATACTTATGCATTCAATTAGTTTTTTTTATTTTTAATTAATTTAGTGAAATGTCTGGATTTTGTTTCACTTTGACATTATAGAGTACTTTGTGTTGGGGAGTGGCAAAAATTCTCAATTAAATACATCATGGTTCATGCTGTAACACAATAAAATGTGAAAAGGTCCAAGGTGAATACTTTTGCAAGGCACTGTAAGCTATATACATGGTAAATAAGACAGGTTAAGCTGTCTCTTATCACTAGACTGTTCAGGATTTTGGTAAGATTTACACAATAAACAAATTGATCTATGGGCATACTCAGTTTTTTCTTTGAATGTGTGTTTCACATTCAAACAACACAAGGTTTCAGGATTTGGCACAGGAATAGAGGTTTTACTGTGCTCACTCAGAATGTTGTCTACATTATTGTAACATTTTAAGAAACCAGAACTGAGTGATGATGACACAACTGCTCTAAATGATCTGATCTTAATCCACTTTGTGTATTTTCCATCTTTGCAACACACACTGACTGGTCAATGGTTTGACATGGTAAAGCTAGTAAAAATAATAATATAATCAACTTATGGACAACAGCTGACATACAAATAAATTACAGAAAATCGCATCTTCAGATCAAGAAAGGACAAAAGAGATTTTTAGAAGGCTGAAAGAGATGTGAAAAGAAATTAATAAATTAACAAATAAAAACTGAAAAGGTTCAAATGCACAGTCATTGTCATGCTTTTGTTCCATTTTCACAACAAGAAATGCAGATCTGTTCCAAAACAAAAAAAAGCAAGATTTTATAATGCAGGTTGCGTTATTTTATCAATGTTTTTTTTAAGTATAAACCATTTTTCTTGACAGGTTTTGTGCTTTAGGCAAAATGTATTCCTCATGTGTCCTTCAGTATTTACATTTTAAACCCCATTCGCAGATCTGGGCATCATGACCTGCAAATCCTCATGACCTGCAAATGTGCTGATGCAACTGCTTTCTGAACCACAGTCTTCAGTTTCACCACTGTATGACGTCGTTAGAGCACCAAGACTTACTCCTGCGGCCACTGTGGAAGTGTCAAAACTAGGAGAAAATCAATCAACTGCGTAACAGAAGCTAAATGACCACCACAAATATGTTATTAAGTCTAAAGGATTTCCAGTGAATTTCAGCCAACTTCAGTGCACTGATACCTTCAGCAGAGTCAGTGCTCTCATTTACAGTAGTGCTCAGTATCAGAATCAGGTATTTCTTCGGTATATATTTATAAACAACCACAATCCAGAAAGAGTACTGAGGTGCTATTCCATAGGAGAGGGTTTGATTTAAAAATAAGAAACAAGGCAGCAGTTTCTCACTCCTTTAACTGAAAAACGACCATACAGTGGAGTTTTTTTTGTTGTCTCTCCACTGGCTACCTGTTTGTTCTCCATGTCTCATGAAAGCCAAGAAATGCTGGTCTCAGAGCATAAGTGCCTACCTGCTATGAGGGAGATCCACACCCGAGCTGCTGCTGAGGGAGGATGGAGGGCTGAGCCACAGGCCCACCCGCTGTGATGCTCACCTTCGCTCTTCCAGGACGGGGTGTCTGACATGCCTTCATGGGGGGGATGGGGGAGGGGGCGGGGGAGTAGTCAGTGAAGGCCACTCACACTTGCCCACAGCAATCCCAGCATCCCTGAGTGGGCATTTTGGGCTAAATGTGCTGGATTTGCTCCCAGGGTGTCCCGTACATGTAGATCCTTCAGTACCTGAGAGTGGAATGCAGAGCAGGGCTACAGCCTCAGGCAGAGATGCTCAGGTTACAGCAGGTGAGATCCAGCTCTTCGAGCGTGCTGGGTTACTGTGACGCAGGTAAGAATTTCAGCATCATTGAACTGCTTTTTATAGCTTGCTCACGTGCTGGATTTCACATTTAAAATCTAGACCAAAATTTGAGATGTATTGATTTATTTTTTTTTAAATGCAATGAATGCAATGCAATGAATTGCAATGAACTTTTTTCTGTATCTGATGAGCAAGGGTCTGACACCCCAAGGGTGACATCATGGAAAAGTCTGCACCCCACAGTCTCCTGTTCGCAATGCAGCTGACCTCCATAACACAGGC